AAAAAAGTGAATTTTGGAGGGAAAAAAGTGAGTTTTGGGGGGTTTGGGGGGAAAAAAGTGAATTTTGGGGGAGAGAAAGTTAATTTTGGGTTGTTTGGGGGGAAAAAAGTGAATTTTGGGGGGTTTGGGGGGGGAAAAAGTGAATTTTGTGGGGTTTTTTGGGAATTGGGGGAAAAAATGAGGGGAAAAAGAGGGGAAAGAGGGAAAATGAATGGAGGAAAGGGGAAAAAATGGAAAAAATGGGAAGGGGGGAAGGGGGAATTGGGGGGAAAGTGAATTTTTGGGGTATTTGGGAATAGGGGGAAAAAAGAGGAAAGGGAAAACGGGAAAAAAATAGGAAAAAAAGGAAAAAATAAAATGGGAGAGGAAGGGGGGAAGGGAGAAAAAGTGGGAATAAAAAAAAGGAGGGAAAAGGGAAAAGGGGAGGAAGAAAAGAAAAAAAAAAGGGAGAAAAGATGGAGAAATGGGGAGAAAAAAGGAAAAAAAAAGGGGGAAGAAGGAGAGGGAAAAAGGGATAAAAATGTGAGGAAAAGGAAGAAAGAACGGAGGAAAAAAAAGGGGGAAATGGGGGGAAAAAAGAGGTGGAAAATGGGAAAAAAAAATTCCCAATCCCATGGATTGGGAGGGATGAGGATAAAGAGGAATTTTTGGCTTACCTGGAATGTGATATCCAAGACGGGCCTGGAAGAAAAGGGATTATTTTAGGTTTTCATTCGGATTTATTTATTTTAAAAGCTTTTTATTCGGATTTATTTCATTTCTGAGGAATTTGGGATTGGTGGGAATTCCTGGAAAAGCCGGAATCAAACCCAGCTCCCTCGGGAATGAATTCTGAATTCCCATTTTGGGGAAAACTTCCTATTTTGGGAAAATAAAAAGCGAAATAAATTCCATTTATTCCCGGCCCGAGGAATTGGAAGTTTTATGGGATTTTGGGCCGGAATTCCGGGTTTTTTTCCCAGTTTTTCCCGTTTTTTTTTACCTTGGACAATGATGTTGCTGGACTCGTGGGAGGGGTTGAACACCAAATGTTTGGCCATGGAGTCGCCCTCGGAGGTGACGAAGAGGCAGGAGGAGCAGGAGAGCCTCAGCCCGCTGGGAAATGGGGGAAAAACGGGGGAAAATGGGAAAAAGGGGGGAAAAGGGGGGGAAAAATGGGAAAAAAAGAGGGGGAATTGGGGGGAAAAGGAGGGAAAATGGGAAAAAGGGGG